TACTTTAAGAAAATATTTATAGGATACATTATTTGTTATAAACATATGAATCTTCAATAAGGGTAATTGTATTTTATTTCCTGTACGTACTACTGAAAAAAGAATAAACTGGAGTTGCAAACAAGTTTATACAGATAAATTCCAAGAATTTTTCAGATCGGTCCCTGGCAAAAAATGAATTTGCTCCATTGAAAAAAATCCCTTTTTCTGTTGGATCCAGAAGCAAACTTTGTTGTTGGTTATATATGCATACCATACATCTTTCTGGAATGAGCCTGCCATCATTCTGCTGACCCGGAGGGATATTGTGTTTTTTTTCTAAGTAAATAAAGTAATGGTGTGGTTGTGGCAACATCATAAACTGCTTAAGGTGCCTGAACCACATTATAAAACTTGGTAACATATCAATATATAATACTCTGTAGTGATTCACAACTCACCCTTGTTCTTACAGAATAAATGAAACACACATTTTCGGCAAACCCAGCCATGTTCTTCATAGCTTGAAAATGTTTTAACTCTATATACTGTATATATATATATTTAGAGGGGTATAAGAACAAAATTGTTTCCCAATATGGTGTTGGACTACCATTGGCATCCAAGACGGCCTGAATTCTCTTGGGAATTGACTTGACAAATATGAGTCTTGGATGGTGGATAATGGAATCTGATACAACTCTTCATGGAAAAATCTGGGTCACCATCCGCTGCAATGTCCTTTTGTCTCTTTTGGTCAGTTGACCACTTGTGTTTATCAGACAATGTTTTTTTATGAAAACTACTGTATATATGTGTTTATAACCTTTGATACTGTACCTCATGGCACGGCAAATAAATTTGCAACTTCAGTCACAGAGGCACCAGCTAAGCGAGCACCAACAATTTGCCCTCTTTGAAGCTCAGTAAGCTGTGACAAGACTCGCATTACTTGCTAGGTGTCTCATCACAAAGCAGAAGCAAAAGAATGTGACTTCACTTCATCTTTCACTGGGAAACATGTCTTCACTTTCACACCTGCAAATCATTATTATTCTTATTATTATACAGGATTTATATAGTGTGAACAGTTTAAGCAGTGCTTTAAAAAAAATGAAGACAGACATTACAGTTACAATACAATTTGGTACAAGAGGAATCAGAGGGTCCTGCTTGTTAGAGCTTACAATCTAAGAGCATGTAGTGTTTTCATATTTTCACCCACCCCTATATATATATATATATATATATATATATATATATATATATATATATATATATACACATCCACAATTTTAAAAAATGGTTAGGCGTGATAAGTGATAAATAAACACAAGACAAATAAATTCTTTAAAAATCATACAATGTGATTTCCTGAATTTTTTTTTTAATTCTGTCTCTCAGAGTGGGAATGCACCTACAATGTGAATTTCAGACCCTTCCATGATTTCTAAGTGGGAGAACTTGCAAAATCGCATGGTGTTCAAATACTTCTGTTCCTCACTGTACAGTCATGGCCGAAATTGTTGGCACCCTTGATATTTTTCCTGAAAATCAAGTATTTCACACAAAAAAGGTATTGCATTAACACATGTTTTGCTATACACATGTTTATTCCCTTTGTATGTATTGGAACAAATATAAAACAGAGGCAGAAAAGCAAATATGACATAATGTCACACAAAACCCCAAAAATGGGCTGGACAAAAGTATTGGCACCCTTAACTTAATATTTGGTTGCACACCCTTTGGAAAACATAACTGAAATCAGTCGCTTCCTATAACCATCAATAAGCTTCTGACACCTCTCACCCGGAATTTTGGACCACTCTTCCTTTGCAAACAGCTCCAGGTCTCTCTTATTGGAAGGACAAACCTTTTCCCAACAGCAATTTTAAGATCTCTCCACAGGTGTTCAATGGGATTTAGATCTGGGCTCATTGCTGGCCACTTCAGAACTCTCCAGCGCTTCTTTGCCATCCATTTCTGAGTGCTTTTTGACGTATGTTTGGGGTCATTGTCCTGCTGGAAGACCCAGGATCTTGGACGCAAACCCAGCTTTCTGACACTGGGGCCCTACAGTGCGACCCAAAATCCTTTGGTAATCCTCAATTTCATGATGCCTTGCACACAGTCAAGGCACCCAGTGCCAGAGGCAGCAAAACAACCCCAAAACATCATTGAACCTCCACCATATTTTACCGTAGGTACTGTGTTTTGTTCTTTGTAGGCCTCATTCCGTTTTCGGTAAACAGTAGAATGATGTGCTTTACCGAAAAGCTCTATCTTGGTCTCATCTGTCCACAAGACGTTTTCCCAGAAGGCTTTTGGCTTACTCAAGTACATTTTGGCAAACTGTAGTCTTGCTTTTTTATGTCTCTGTGTCAGCAGTGGGGTCCTCCTGGGTCTCCTGCCATAGCGTTTCATTTCATTTAAATGTCGACGGATAGTTCGCACTGACACTGATGCTCCCTGAGCCTGCAGGACAGCTTGAATGTCTTTGGAACATGTTTGGGGCTGCTTATCCACCATCCGGACTATTCTGCGTTGCAATCTTTCATCAATTTTCCTCATCCGTCCACGACCAGGGAGATTAGCTACAGTGCCATGGGTTGCAAACTTCTTGATAATGTTGCGCACTGTGGACAAAGGCAAATCTAGTTCTCTGGAGATGGACTTGTAACCTTGAGATTGTTGATATTTTGCCACAATTTTGGTTCTCAGGTCCTCAGACAGTTCTCGTCTCCTCTTTCTGTTGTCCATGCTTAGTGTGGCACAGACAGACACACAATGCAAAGGTTAAGTGAACGTCTCTCCTTTTTTATCTGCTTTCAGGTGTGATTTCTATATTGCCCACACCTGTTACTTGCCCCAGGTGAGTTTACAGGAGCATCACATGCTTGTAACATTCTTATTTATCCGCAGTTGTGAAAGGGTGCCAATACTTTTGTCCAGCCCATTTTTGGAGGTTTGTGTGACATTATGTCGAATTTGCTTTCTTTCCTCCCTTTTTTTGTTTTGTCCCAATACACACAAAGGGAATAAACATGTGTATAGCAAAACATGTGTTAATGCAATACGTTTCGTGAGAAATACATGATTTCCTGGAGAAATATCAAGGGTGCCAACAATTTCGGCCATGACTGTATATATATGACAACATGCTGGGCAACCTGATAAAACAAACTCAACTGCTCGCCAAATTTTTCCAATATCACATACTGTAGGTAAACAAGTAACCTAAGATTAAGTGAAACACATAGATGTATATATGAGTACTGCTTTGCAGTATTGCATTGCATTTCATAAATATTTAAAGTTGTTTTCAGATTCTGGGTTATCTGTTTGTATCTTTAATGTGTGTGTTAACATACATGTACAATAATTCATTTCTTTCAACTGTTGCTGAGTACAGTCAATCATGGCCCCCAAAGTTCCGTCCAACCTTTATATTGTAATTATGGAGTACTAATATATCACCATAGTGTAGTGATGTGCGTCACTTGAATATTACAACAATATGTGCCTTCTCAGGATTTATTAGTTTTATTAGATTGCCCTATAGAGCTATGCTTGTGTGCATGATCAAATCCAGAGATGCAAATATTTGGCATAATTTTTACATGTTAGCGTGTTCTTATTTAGGGCATATTTCCAGTTGACCTTGGGCATTCCCAGCTTGAGTGGCAACTGTGAACATATCCAGGTGTTTTTCATGTCATAATTGTATAGGATCATGTTATATAAACTTTTAGTTCTATTGTTACTTTATTAGGATGTAAAATGCTATTATATAGAAGTAACATATTTCTTATTCTTATCGAGATTCATTTTTATTTTCCTTATTCTTAGTGGGCTGTTTACGTATGGCTTAATTTTCATACTAGCAAACATATGTTCCTTTTAAAGAAAGACATCATAGTGTAGTATATTAAAAACACAAAATACTGAGTCCTTAAAATTTCACACTCACAAAACAGGTTTATACCAGCTCCTCTTAAAATATAAGAGCTTTTATACAGAGTTAAGTTGGAAGGCTCACCAGAAATCCATAACTCATAAACTGAGTCATAGCAGCATTCCCAACAGGTACTGTATACTGTATCTAAGCACCAAGAGACCTCCCACCAATTGTTCAATTCTGGGTATGTCCAAACTTCCACACTCTCCATTACCTCTAAATTGGTCATCAATCACCCATCATCTACATTAACTCAGGATCAGTATTAGAACAAAAAAAATGTACAGAATATTTAAAATGCCAGCCCCTTTTAACAAAAGACATCCTATAACCACCATGCTGTGTCCTAAAGAAATTAAACGATGAACCACGTTGAGTGGAAGTTACGTCATCACATACATGCACCTGGAAGTGCCACTATTTTGATCTGTATGCTCTGGTTTTTGTCAGGGCAGGAGCGGTGGAATGGACAGGCAGGCCTAATAGTAGGGTCACGCACTGACTGACGACAAGCACCACCCACAGACCGGAGTCCCTCAGGGCGCGGAGTCTAAGCCCAAGCCTGCCTTTCACCAGGGCCCCTGATGGTGGGGATGGACTTGGCGCAGCCAGGGACCAGGTCGCGGCCCCCGAGTAACCCCAGCTGCAGTAATGGCCACCGCCAATGGCCTATAGCTGGTGGGAACCAGATGGGAAATGATAGCATAGTCAGACAGGCCGGGTCGATAACAGTGGGACAGACAGTACCGGACGGTAGGCAAGAATACACAGGTCACAAGCCGGGTTCAGCAACGGGAGGTCAGATAAAGGGATAAGGCTGAGAATAGTCTTAGTCAAAGCCGAGTCAGTTTCCAGGAGAGCCACAAGAGTAGAACAACAACTTGTTGCAACACAATCATACAGGACACAAATGCAAAGAGCAAGTGCAGACAACAGGCTTAAATGTGATCAACCACACCCCTCTGGGGGAGGGACCGCAGAGGCCTGAAAGCATACAAGGCTCCCACCATGCTTTGCAGAAACCTGTTCCTCGGTCCAGCGCTGCGAAGGCTTCCCGCGTTGGCATCTTTAGTGTGGGCTCTCAGCTGTGACAGCCTGGTGCCCAGTGCGCATGCGCGAGAAGTGCTGCGCTTTGTGAATAGTACGGTGTCTTCTGGGACACGACAGGTCTCAGAAGACTCCGGACCAATCACAAAGCGCAGCTCTTCTCACGCATGCGCACTGGGCACCTGGCTGTCAGCCGGGTGCCCACACTAAAGGGACGACAACTCCGCGGAAGTGGGAGCGGGTACCTGTCAAATTCAGGTACCCGCTCCCCCTCCCTCCCCAAAGGTCAGCAGTCTCTGGTCATCCCCTGCACTGTCCGCAGTCTCTGGTCATCCCCTGCACTGTCCGCAGTCTCTTGGTCATCCCCTGCACTGTCCGCAGTCTCTTGGTCATCCCCTGCACTGTCCGCAGTCTCTTGGTCATCCCCTGCACTGTCCGCAGTCTCTTGGTCATCCCCTGCACTGTCCGCAATCTCTGGGTCATCCCCTGTACTGTCCGCAATCTCTGGTCATCTCCTGTACTGTCCGCAGTCTCTTGGTCATCCCCTGTACTGTCCGCAGTCTTTTGGTCATCTCCTGTACTGTCCGCAGTCTCTGGTCATCTCCTGTACTGTCCGCAGTCTCTGGTCATCCCCTGTACTATGTCCACAGTCTCTTGGTCATTCCCTATACTGTCCGCAATCTCTGGTCATCTCCTGTACTGTGTCTGCAGTCTCTGGTCATCTCCTGTACTGTGTCCGCAGTCTATGGTCATCTCCTGTACTGTGTCTGCAGTCTCTGGTCATTTCCTGTACTATGTTTGCAGTACATTGGTTCAGAATATAAAACCTAGGTGCATCTTATGGTCAGGTGCGTCTTATGGAGCGCAAAATACGGTATTTGGCCTTTTTGCCATTTACCTGTACTGATTCACTGAACATTTCATTGTCACCAAATTGGGAATACGTTGTAGACAACAACATAATCCAATTAGGCCACAACATGCTATTATCAAACCACCAATGATTTGCCTCAAACTTTCCAGCCCAGGTATCCATCCAAATAACCAGTCCCACCAATTACTAGCAACATTATATTTAATTCCTGAGGCCAGCTCATATTAAGCCCGTACATGTGATTGTATGGAGGTGGCATGATCACTCAATTTAAAACAGCACATTCCTTCAAAATGTTCACAACCATAATTAGTTTTAATCAGTAAATAATCTATAGTCGCTCGATTCTGAAGCACCGCTTTACGGGTTCTTTGGAGGTCGAGTAACAATTCCTGCAAAGCCATTGAAGTATGAATAAGACTTTTTGCCATGCTACATGCTAAAGCATTAACAGCACTTGTATTATATAAATGCTAATGCTGGTACTCCTACAATAGATGCTGCCAAACTAGTGTATTCAGCTTTATCAAGCAATGTAATATCTGATATACAATCTTCTGGTACTCCCGTTTTGATCTCAAATCCCTCTGCTTAGCTTTAGGATGCTCAGACAATATCATACTCAAATGGCTCAAAGTACAAGGCCCTCCAGTAATATTGCCTGGAATATATGAATACGTGGTATGTCCACAAGAAAACAACCATCCCAAAGGTAGTTTTACATGCTTAATATTGCCAGGGCTAAAACCTGATCACATTGTGTTATGTACTGAAGTACATGTTCTATTAGATTTCCGTAAGATCCTATCATGAGGGGATAGGGTTGTTGAATTTGGCCCATATGTAAATCTTAGACACCAACAATGGGGAATCTCTTCAGAATCATATGTCATATTATAATATACTGTACATTTCCTTGGGTAATATTCAAAGTTTTTATACTAGTCATATTTTCCCAGTGTTTAAATGAATTTGGACAATTCCGACAGAACTCATACAATAAAATAGATTGTACATCATCAACTCTCACATCAGTATCATTAGTTAGTACTCTGAAGTTATTCAGCAAAACTTGTGCTGGAGTATGAACGGCTACCAAACTTGTAGTTAAAAGGTCAGTAAGATTGAGCATATCTGACAAACAAAAATTGGAAGTATTCATCACTGTCCTAGCCATGTAAACCCATACATTTTCAGATTGCTTTAACAGTTCACATGGATGTCTAGGTCTGGACAGGAGGTCTGTCTCTTGGGATTGTGGGCAAATATACATCAAGTCCTGAGGGTGATAATAACATGTTCTAATCACCCAAATTGTAAGAAACACCACCAGTGTGAGACAACCTATTAAAAGAAAGATTTTCCAAGAGGCTTGCAGATTGAAAAGCATTGACGTCTTGATCAGTCTCTTTTGGATGTCTTCCAAAGAGACTCTACTACCAGCTTCACTCTCTAACACGTCGGTTTCAGGGACTGCGACACCTCCTTCACCCTCTTTGTCTTTACCTAACTCCTTAGGTCTAGGAAAAGCCGGGACTTTCTTTATTCTTGACGAATGGATCCAGGCCTGAGGATCCGCTGTCAAAACTGCAGTACATGCCATGGCTGTTAGCACTGTGGGCTCTCTCATAAGGTGCACCCAAGACCTTGTGTTTATGCAGGGCCCTTAACAACCACATTGTCTCCTGGCTTGAACGGATGTGTTGGTTCCTGTGAAGAAAGCAGAAAAGAGAGATACATCACCGTAGATGCCATTCAAAAGCCTTATAAGATTTGCCACATACGTTTCTTGGATCAGCCCTAGGTCCCCAGGCATAATCACCATTGGACCTTTAGTCCATGGGGTAGGAAAGGGTCTACCCATCAGATTTCAAAAAAGGTGACAATTTAGTGGTTTTTGTTTAGTGTCATCCATATTTCAGCCAATACGGTGGGCAGAAAAGTATCCCATTTAGCAAATGTACCCCCAGTGGCTTTCCTCAACTTATCCTTTATCGTCCTGTTCATTCTCCCTACCATTCCTGAACTCTCTGTGGGGATGGTAAAGGATGTGAAATTTCTACTGAATAAGCAATAATTTAGCTACCTCTTGGGTCACTTTTGATGTAAAGACTTTGTCTGAATCAATTACCAGAGGGCATTTGGATAATTTCTTTACACAAAATCTTGGCCAAATCTTGGCATACGATGCCAGGTTAATTGGTGTTTGTCGAATGTAAAAGCCAATAGTAGTTGTATCTCTTCATCAACAGGGATGGAAAACAAAGCATTACTTAAATCGAAGATGGTGTAATATTCCCTGGTGCAGGGAATAGAGGTCACCAATGATGACACATCTCGAACAACATGGGCTACAGGCACTACAGGAGTACTAACTATCCTTAAATTCTGAGTAAATCTGTATGAACCATCGGGCTTTTTAACAGGATTAACTAGGGTGTTATAAGGTGATATTACAGGAGCCAGAATTCCCTCCTGTAAAAATATTTCAATAATGGGTCGAATATCTTTTAGCGTTTCTTTAGCCAAAGGGTATTTGCTTTTGAACAACGGAGTGTGTTAGGCTTCAGTGTGGCTTTGTATGGTGTAAAGGGTATAAATCCCACATCCAACTTTTCCCTTGCCCATACTTTGGGATGTACCCCTTCCAATTCCTCAATGGCAACAAAACAATGTGGTGATTCCATATGAACATCTCCTTCAGGGCTTACTCTAATTTTCACAATAAATCTCTGCCTAACAAATTCCATATATCCGGTCCATATAGTTCTGTCCAACTCTTTCCATCATTTCTTGTCATATATATATATATATATATATACACACACACACACACACACACACACACACACACACACACACACACACACACAACACACACACACACAGTGGGGCAAAAAAGTATTTAGTCAGCCATCAATTGTGCAAGTTCTCCCACTTAAAAAGATGAGAGAGGCCTGTAATTGGCATCATAGGTAGACCTCAACTATGAGAGACAAAATGAGAAAAAAAATCCAGACAATCACATTGGTTGATTTGGAAAGAATTTATTTGCAAATTATTGTGGAAAATAAGTATTTGGCCAATATCAAAAGTTCATCTCAATACTTTGTTATATATCCTTTGTTGGCAATGACAGAGGTCAAACGTTTCCTGTACGTCTTCACAAGGTTGGCACACACTGTTGCTGGTATGTTGGCCCATTCCTCCATGCAGATCTTCTCTAGAGCAGTGATGTTTTGGGGCTGTCGCTGGGCAACACACACTTTCAACTCCCTCCAAAGGTTTTCTATGGGGTTGAGCTAGGCTAGGCAACTCCAGGACCTTGAAATGCTTCTTACGAAGCCACTCCTTTGTTGCCCAGGCGGTATGTTTGGGATCATTGTCATGTTGGAAGACCCAGCAACGTTTCATCTTCAATGCCTTTGCTGATGGAAGGAGGTTTGCACTCAAAATCTCACGATACATGGCCCCATTCATTCTGTCCTGTACATGGATCAGTCGTCCTGGTCCCTTTGCGGAGAAACAGCCCCAAAGCATGATGTTGCCACCCCCATGCTTCACAGTAGGTTTGGTGTTCTTTGGATGCAACTCAGCATTCTCTCTACTCCAAACACGATGAGTTGTGTTTTTACCAAACAGTTCTATTTTGGTTTCATCTGACCATATGACATTCTCCCAATCCCCTTCTGGATCATCCAAATGCTCTCTAGCAAACTTCAGACGGGCCTGGACATGTACTGGCTTAAGCAGGTGGACACGTCTGGCACTGCAGGATCTGAGTCCCTGGCGGCGTAGTGTGTTACTGATGGTAGCCTTTGTTACGTTGGTCCCAGCTCTCTGCAGGTCATTCACTAGGTCCCCTTGTGTGGTCCTGGGATTTTTGCTCACCGTTCTTGTGATCATTTTGACCCCACGGGGTGAGATCTTGCGTGGAGCCCCAGATCGAGGGAGATTATCAGTGGTCTTGTATGTCTTCCATTTTCTAATTATTGCTCCCACAGTTGATTTGTTCACACCAAGCTGCTTGCCTATTGCAGATTCAGTCTTCCCAGCCTGGTGCAGGTCTACAATTTTGTTTTCTGGTGTCCTTCGACAGCTCTTTGGTCTTCACCATAGTGGAGTTTGGAGTGTGACTGTTTGAGGTTGTGGACAGGTGTCTTATACTGATAACAAGTTCAAACAGGTGCCATTGATACAGGTAATGACTGCAGGATAGAGGAGCCTCTTAAAGAAGAAGGTACAGGTCTGTGAGAGCCAGAAATCTTGCTTGTTTGTAGGTGACCAAATACTTATTTTCCACCATAATTTGCAAATAAATTCTTTCCAAATCAGCCAATGTGATTGTCTGGATTTTTTTTCTCATTTTGTCTCTCATAGTTGAGGTCTACCTATGATGCCAATTACAGGCCTCTCTCATCTTTTTAAGTGGGAGAACTTGCACAATTGGTGGCTGACTAAATACTTTTTTGCCCCACTGTATATATATATATCTTTTCTTTAATCCTCTCCTCCTACACACTTCTTGGTCGTTCAGTTCAATTCTTCAATGTCAGGCCATCTAGAGCTCCCACTACTTCCAGATATTTTTTAGATGTTTTGAAATTATACCAATTAACCCATTCCTTTCTAAACTTTTCCATTTTATCTTCATCTATATGGCATAGCTCTTCCATCTTGTTTATATAATAGACTTTATCAATCCAGTCCTTCAGTGTTGGGGGCTCTTGTACCTGCCAAAATTTGGGTATAAGTCCCTTGGCCGCATTAATTAGATGGTATAATGCAATGTTTTCATATTGTTTCACTGGTATCTCTGACCTATAAAATGAACACTCCCATGGATCTTTCTGCATAGTGATCCCCAGTATCTCTTGTATTATGTCCTACAAAAACATCTATATTTTGGGACAGTCCCACCATATATTTGCCATAGTTCCCTTAAGTCCACATCCCCTCCAACACAATGGTGA